CTGTATAAAACTGATCTTCTCTTCCAAGGAAACGTTAATCCACTTTAGTGAGAGGGTGAAGTATTTGCTGTGGTGTTTAATTGGGTCAGTACCATGGAACCCTTAAAATGATTTTAAAAGTGTTTGCAATGTTTAGGATTACATTTTATTTGGTATGCTTACTGCAAACCTGTTCCTCTTATATTCACTGTCACTTATATTCACTTATATTCACACTGACTTTGATGGAACAGTTTTCAGTTCCAGACTTGACAGAGCTGGAGCAAAACATTCACTGCTTGAAGAAATACTGATATATTTTGAAATTGCTTCCTTCTACCCAATAACTTGCAACTCGACACAAGGTAATCCCACAAAATATCACTTACTGCTTCATTTCCCTCCCAAATAAACGTTCACATTTCACCATGTTTGGCTGGTGTGTTTCTGCTCCCACAAGTGTCATCTTGGAAAACAGTTTATTTCCCAAGAAATAGTTTATATGCCTTCAGGGGTCTGAAAGGAATATGATTTGCAAATACATATAGGACAGCCAGGTTTCTCCCCTGAACCTTTGTAAGCTATTTCAAAAAGTTCTGATTTCAAATAAAGTAAAACAGAAATTGTCGAGTGAAAGTGAGCATCATTCATATTTAAAAAGTTATTTTCGTTCTTGAAACACTTTGGATCATTGAGCAGAAACGATGCTTTTTGCTGTAATTAAGCAGGGATGATTCTTCCAACTTGTGTATTTCTTCCTTATTAAGAATTATCCAACTCACTGTAACTAAGAGGATGATATTTTTATCAAAAGGGAAAAAAAAGACCTAAATGAATTATTGTAACAGGGATATCCCAATAACAAATATCACCTACTACGTCAAAAAGCTATTTTTGGCCAGCAATTTGTGCTGTGTATTGTCATGCTGGTGCTAAAATGTCAGTAGTTCACGACAATGGACTGACTTTAGGGTGGTAATAGGTAGAAAAATTAACATTCTGAGTCAAAGCCTTGCTTAAGTTATATGTGAGGGCTGGTAGCTCCTGCCAGTG